ATTGACACGAAAGAGGTGTCAGGTGCATCCCACGCGATGGATGAAATTATCTCCGTGTATGATGATGTGTTTGATAGATTAGGATGCCTCCCAGGAGAGCTACACCTTGATATTGACCCCACAGTCCAGCCTGTGCAGCTGTTACCAAGAAGGATTCCTATTCCCATCAAATCAAAAATTATCAAAGCCATTCAGGAAATGGAACAAAAGGGGGTAATGGCTAAAGTTGTGGAACTGACTCATATGGCATTCATTCTACCCCGTTATGTATCGATCCAAACCCATTGAACAAAGCTTTGCTCAGATCACACTTCCAGATTCCCACAATTGAAGAAATCCTTCCAGAAATAACCAATGCAAAAATATTCATTGTTATTGATGCTAAAGATGTCCATTGGCAAATAATGAGGCAAGCAGCTACCTCACCACAGTTTGGACGCCTGAAGGAAGATACAGGTGTCGTTCGGAATAAAACTGGAGAGTACCAAAGGGGACAGCATGAAGCATTGCATGATCTTAGAGGAGTCCGTGTAATTGCATATGACATTCTTGTCTATGGGTGTGGCAACTCTACAAAAGATGCAATGGCAGATCATGACAAGAACATCTCAGCTCTACTTCAGAGAGCTATGGAAGACAATTTGATGCTGAACAGAAAGAAACTTCGGCTGAGGCTCCCTAGTGTGATGTACATGGGTCACCTCCTCACAAATGAAGGCTCACTCCCAAACCAACAGAAAATAACCGCAGTCAAAACATGGAAACACCTAACGATGTAAAATCCCCCCAAACGCTTTTGAGGTTTCTAAACTACTTGTCAAAGTTCCTGTCCCTTCTGTCAGACATATGTGAACCGCTCAGCCGGCTGACAGACAAGGATGTTGACTGGGCATGGCTACAAAAGAAGGATGCTGCTCTGGAGAAGAATCTAAACTCAAAGATTTAGTCACTCACTACCCTGTACTGAAACACTATGACTCAAAGAGGAGGTCACACTGCAATGTGATGCCAGTGAGAACCTCCTAGCCCTCCTACAGAATGGACAACCTGTATCATTTGCGTCCAGGACACTGACCTCAACAGAACAACAATATGCTCAGATTGAGAAAGAATGCATTGCCATTGTCTTTGCGTGTGATAAATTTGACCAGTATCTACATGGAAGGGAGCACATAACTGTTCATAGTGATCACAGACCACTTGAAGCAATCTTCAAAAAACCCTTGCTGAAAGCACCCAAGCAATTACAGAGGATGCTACTGACTTCCTCTCTAGAGCGCATCAGACGAGCCTGACACACTCACAAATGCAGACACCAGCCTCAGTATATGCAATGGGCCTTACCTCTCATGACTTTGAACAAGTTAGCCATTCCAGCAGTGTCAATATTTCCACAAAGACACTGTAAACCATCAAAGATCCGGTATTCCAAAAACGACATGTGTGTATTAAAACCGGTTGGCCCAACCACAAATGTTCTGTCAACAGCTTATTGCGACCATTCAGGACTTTCAAGGAAGAACTAGCCAGAGGAATGGGTCTTTAACCATGTCACTTCACATTGCACGTGAATAATAGCAAAAAAGTGTGCAAAGAAGTCAAGGCAAGGCTGTTCTTATTCCACGTATCTTACCTCAGTGTTCCTGGACGAATATTATCATAGTAACATGATAGCATGATTGATATTTAAAATGGTAAACATGTGGTGCTTTGTTGTGGTTTCTGTATCTGCAGCCTTGTGTTGGTTTCCCTTTTTGAATCACAAATATAGATTAATATATCTGCAGAAATATACAGATATCTCCTTATACAATGGAGCATGCTAGTTGACAGTCGCCTGTAGTCCTTTCGGTGTTTTCAAGGTTTTTTTTCCCCCCGACGCAGGTGACACTAGGCGACAACACTGTCGGCTCTCATCAGAACTAGTTCTTTAGCAAACAGTTTAGTACACGCTTATAGTTACCATATACGCTCCCCTATAGTGAGGCTAATGCTTCCCACAGAAACTAGTATGCGGAGAGTACTTCATAAACACGCAAGTATTCTTTGCAACAACGGGAAAGTGAGAGATTATATTGATTTTAGTTTGATCTCAGATAAGATCAAAGTCCTGAGGATGTCAGCAGCATTTTGGCAAACCTAATCCTTTAAGACTAGAGGCTACAGGCTATCAGTAATGGAGCACACGCAGAACCCTGCACTGTAGTCAAAGGTTGCCTCGATTGATTGCTTTAGCCTGACTAAGCCACAAACAGGATATGAGTGTTCACATCCTATAAGCGCCTGCTCATGCTGGCTCACATTGACTGATCTCTGCAGATGCATTAATGCAAAACAGCTGGAATAAATATAACTTTGCCTAAAAAATGGCTTCTTGTCAATATCTGATAGTTTGGCCCAAACATTAAGGCTTAGTATTCAGTTTTGTTTTTGTAAGGTTTGTGGAGCTTTTCTATGTCCAATATCAATGCCCCCTTGCTATTGCACGCGTGTAAGTGTTTAAAAAAAAAAAAACATCTATAAATTAATAAACGCCATCGCACACCTACAGGTGATAGGTGTGTGGGGAAAAAAGACCAACAAAGTAGGTCAAAAAAAATCAACAAAAATAAGGAACTCCCACACACTATCAGTAATTGCAAATTAGTATAAAAAACGTTTCGGTCTCACAACCTTCATCAGGCATAAAAACATCTATAAAAATCTGTCATTTACAGATGAAGCATTCATTAAATTGTTTGTTATGCAATTGCTGTCAGATCCAATATTGATTTTAAGGGATAGGTGTTCAAATTCAGAATAATGGTGTAAAATATTGTTTTCATTGACTGATTCTAACAATTCTACATTTGATACACTGAATCTCTGGTTACATCACTGAAATTTCCTTTTTTCCTGTCCAAGTAAACAAATCATTATATTATATATATTTGTATTATTTATTATATGAAATCTCATTTGTAATACAATAAGATATCTACTACTTTGATCATTAATATGTTTTTCTGTTTCTTTTTATTTATTATGTGGCATTACAATGATTTTATCTTGTCTATCATGAAGTGGCATGTTTATTAAACTCAGTGGAAATTAATTTAATCCACGTCAGCTCTGTAGGAACCACACAAATTCTGATAAGATGCATACAGTCTAGTAGGTTTAGCATATTTTCTTGAAGTAATGAAACATTTATGGAAACTTTATCTGATCCTGACTTAAAATATATTCGATTTTTAAATTGTTTTATTATTATTATTATTTTAATGTAAATATTATAATGTTACCCGTATGGATAGATCACTATCATTTAGGGGTTGAATACTCTGAAACTTTCGGTTCAAACATATAGTATAATATTGTTTTGCTTTAATTCTGCAATTTTTCTCCAGTAATCACTGCGGTTCATTCTGATTGATCAACCAATTACACATCAGCATTTCAGTTACATATTATGTTTACAACTCATTGCTTTAAATGAAATGAAAGGCTGTAGCAGAAAGAATGGTTCTCTGTGTCAAAATTGAGTTTTATGGCGACAGAGATCAGCTAAAAAAACATAATCCATCAGCTATGTCTAAAAAATATACAGCAATTGTTTGAGTGAGCTGTTACTGGAGATGTTATTTTACGATGGCTGGATTTTTTCCATTACTAGCACACAGTTGCATTGAGGACCATTAGAGGCATTCAGTTTATTAATCTAATATGAATCCCATTGCTTTCAAATTACAAACTTCATTTATACATTTATCTGTGATTCATATATAAATATATCATTTATATCAGGAAACTGCTGACAGTGTGGAAAATAAACCCAGGACGAGAACGGGTATTGTTCAAAATTCATGTATAATTTTGACGTTTTGATCGACTTCTGGTGCTTTCGTCCCAAATGTGCGCTCTGGCTTAACATGACGGACACTTGCTCGTATGGCGACGTTGGTTTTTGCGTTCCCACAGCGTTTTCACACAGCTCGAAGTTCCCTGATAGGCAACGTCTCTTTGTGTCTGTTCCATACTCCCAGCATGCCCGTTAGCGCTTCCTTCAGGCCTATCAGAAGCTGTTGTGCTTGTGTTTTTGGGGTGCATTTCCTGGTCGATGACGTCACCCACCTGTGACATTCCGTCACTCCATTGGACTGATTCCATATGTGCTTCAAGATGCACAATGCAGGGGCGTTCCCACAGCGTTTTCACGCAGCTTGAAGTTCCCTGATAGGGAACTATTTAATTTAATCAATTTTAAAAACTCTATATCTCCTAATAAAATGTCTAAAAATTAAATGCATAGTTTTATGATCAAAGCTCTGTAGTTTTAATTTGTGGGAACAAAAAATAATACAGAACAGTACAATAATTCAGAGGAACAAATAAACATTCCTCAAAGGCATAATCTATCATATTTGATTTATTTTACATTTATTTTAGAATTTGTTTTATAGATAAACAAGTTGCATCAGTCGAGTAAATGTTCATGTTTAAACATTACTAAAAATATAAAAGTCATACAAATCAGTAAAGATTTCAGAGCAAAAGACATGAAGAGTTCAGATGCAAAAGCCTCTAAATGCTATTTGAAATTTTCTTATTTAATGATGATTTTTATCAAACTTGTATATTTAAGTACAGTAATTTCACTTAAATGGTAATGATAATTACCTATTAATTGTTATTTAAGTGAAATTACTGAACTTAAATATACAAGTTTGATAAAAATCACCATTCTAGAAGAACATTTCAAATCGCATTTAGAGGCTTTTGCATCTGAACTCTTCACATATATACCGCAATCTGAAGGGGGACATTTGCCGAAATATACTATGGTAAATCAACTTTTATTTGCTAAAAAAATACAAACTATTAATCAGACATGAAATGTGTGCATAAAACATGATAAGTACAGTATGGTTTTATAGGTTTAATTTTTGACATTTTGTCATTTCAGAAGCAGGGATTCGTCTTTTAATATGCTGATCTGTTATTTGATATTTGTCTTTCAGACATGGATTCACTGCGCATACTGCTATACTCCTTCATATTCCTGCTGAGTGTGTTTGGTAATCTGCTCATCATTGTGGTTTTGGTGGCGAATAAGCGAATGCGGACGGTGACCAACTCATTCCTGCTCTCCCTGGCCATTAGTGATCTTATGATGGCTGTTTTCTGCATGCCATTCACTCTTATTCCCAACCTGCTGGAGGATTTCATCTTTGGAGCTGCTATGTGCAAGATTGTGGCCTATCTTATGGGTAAGATGGACTGTCATTTCTTCAAATGCACTGGCTTCAAGCACTATTCCCTAAATCTGCAGAAATGTATGTGCCTTCAAATTTTTGAAAGGTATTCATTTTTCTTTTTTTTTTCACTTTTCAGTTTAGTCTATCCAGGTGCAATCATTCATGCTGTGGCTTGAAATTAAGTCATTCTTTTCTGTGCAGACAAGCCTTCCTTGATTTAAAAAAAAAAAAAAAAAGATGTGTATGAATACATTTTCTCTCAATCGTGGCAGCAGTAATTCATCATGATCATCAATGACGTAAAAAAGTGATGCTTGCCACATCTAAGGATTGAGAATTATTGCTTGCATTATTAATTTGGACATTTATGTTTTTCACTCAAACATATAACTCTAGCTGAAAATAATACAATTGGTTCCACATATGGGGAACCTAACTGAACTGAAGTAAAGCCCAATAAAAAAGTAATTCATAAGAAAGAAAAATCCCTCTCTTAAAAATATTCTGCCCATGTTCAGTTAACGCCAATGATTTATGTAGTGCCAACACAAATGGACTAAGTAACTTTTATTTTACCAATTTAAACCCTGGTTGCTAAGACAAGGCTCTAGTCTCAGACTAAAGTGCATGTTTAAGCTGTTTAAACTGAAACCATGCAACTTGCACTGACATATCTTAAAATAATTATGTGAGTACCATTGTTTTGTCTTAAGATGCACATCAGTAATGTTTTTTTTTTTTTAATTATTATTATTTCTTAGGCACCTTTATAAAAGCTACTTAAATATCCAAATTGAACTGAGGCTAAGCCCTGATTATGAAACCAGGCCTAAGTGTGCACATTGAGTTTTTAGCTGTGTATGAATAGTGTTATAGACCTGATTAACAACAGTTAATGTCAACTATATGCACTGCACGGTGAATCTCTTATTTATATCTCGTCTTTGTTGTTTATGTGGGGATTTGCGAAAGGATAAAGCTTGTGCTGATTCTGAACATAACGTTTCATCAACTGATTCAGAACAGAGCAAGTGTGGTGTGAAAATGAACCAAAACCCCTGAAAAATGCTACAAAGTATAATTTATCGCGCTTGGTCCAGACCAAATGAACCGAACTACAGATGTGAAAGCACCCTATGAATCAAGTCAAATTTGCTGTGTGCGACTGCTGTTTATTTGTAATACAGTTGCCTGGATGTTAGATATTGACACTGACTTTCGCTTTGAGAAATTAGCCACTGATGAAGGCATATGTTTGAATGCATCCAGCTTGATCTGCTTTTCTTGGACGACTACCTCCCTAATTGAAAGTCAATGCCCATCCAGTACCAACTGATACAATGCCAAGGTCAGATTTGACACAAGAGGGCTTCTGGCAAATGGATTGAAGGGGGGGGGGGGGAAGAACTGGACTGCAGCGATCTACTGTATTGTAGCACATTTGAAAAAAAACCACAAGTCATGGGCACAAAGTCAAAAGAAACTACCGTAATTAGCTGGTGACTCGAAAACAATTACACTATTGTGATTTGTCCTTGAATGCACAGGGATCAGATTTCAGTTTTTCTACAGCATTATCACTGTCTGATGGAGGCCCTGGAGATGACATAGTTCAGAAGAGAGCAGATCTTATTAGCTTGAGTGTGTGTTAGCGGCCTGCGGCCCACACAGTGTTGGAGTGCTACAGGGCAGCACATCCAACACAAAATGCAAAACACAACCTTCCCCCCTCTGTTTGTTTTTTGATGAGGCGGGGAAGGAAGGGGATTTGTAAAGCAAAGATCAATTTCCATGGTACGCGTTCTGGTGCGGAGGGCGAGATCAGATCAAAGCTCTTGGGGTATCGGGGCAGTAATTCCTCAAACATGAGGGGTTGTCGTAAACCTCGCTTTACAGCTTTCACCAACAAGAATGCCATTTCGTATTGTTTTTCACAAAGCTTAGTACTTTTAGGAGAACGTATTAAGGATTTGTCGCTTTCAATTTTGCAAGGCATCAAGCTCTCGGAAAAAAATACAGATGTGTAGTGAATACATGAAGCGATAAGAGCAACTGAATCCGAAAACCTGGTGGATAAACTGTTTACAGTAGATGCGATCTTTAAGCTTTTGACTGTAGTTTGGGCATTGTAAATGTACCGATTTTGATCAAAAATGTCATTCTGCTTTATCACAGGAATTTCTGTCTGCATATCTACCTTCAGTCTGGTGGCTATAGCCATTGAGAGGTACAGTGCTATTTGCAACCCGCTGAAGTCACGTGCATGGCAGACCCGATCCCACGCCTACAAAGTCATCGCTTCCACTTGGGTTCTGTCCTTCCTTATTATGATACCCTATCCCATTTTCAGCACCCTGATTAAGTTGACCAAACCCAATAACATCACAGCTCACATGTGCCGCCATGACTGGCCGAAAATCGAGGTGGAGCAAGCGTGGTAAGTGCTCGTTTGTGGAGTAAAATTTTTTGAGAAATTTTGAATTTTCAAAATTTGACGTGGTCACATTGGTGCGAGTGGATGGTCACTGTCTTACAAGTTACATAAAAATTCAGTTTCATAAAAATGTAGGTTGGTCCAATTTGATACTGAAAAGTAAAACTGCCTCTTGGTTAACTGCTATTGGTCAGACTAGTTCCCTTTCGAGGGAACTCGCGATGTGTCAATGACGTTTTGGGAACGCCTTTGCGTGACTGAGTCTGAAGCACTACTGTCAACTAGTCCAATGGAATGAATTAAGCGTCATGGGTGGGTGATGTCATGACTAGGAAGATATAAGCCCATCCGGTTCAAACACTGAATGTACAGGACATTATAAGGCCATAATGAAGATATAGTGTGGATTAATTGATTTGCATGATTCTTGATCAATATAATTGTTTGTCCAATTCACATGTACTTGGCTTGGCTTCGGGAAAGTTCATCCACACTATGCTCATACTTCACAAACATGCCAATTCTGTCCAGTCAGCTGGTCATTATCTCAAAATAATCCCAATGGGATCCCAGAATTCCACGGAAAAGTGCATGGGGTTGGGTATCGGTTGGGTTTTTCCGATACCAGTACCTACTCTGTATTTTTTAAATGGTTCCGGTGCCTGAACGGTTCTTGAAACGGTACTTAAGAAAACGAAACCGCACACACTTTGTCAAAAAATAATACCCCTTTATTCACAGGGCCAAACTGGACACAATATTAACTTACAATATAAATACAAGTAACATATGGTAATAATAAATAAACCAATATAAAATAAAAGTTCATATTTACATAGTATCAAATAAAACAATATTATATCAAACAATGTAATTATACTGGAGATTAATAGAGATTACTACCTGGGTAATATAATATCGACATGGCTACAGGTTCCCATGTTTTGTCTGCTTTAACTAGTGTAAGTTCTTGTCATTTACTGGTTAAGCTCTTAGCCAGTTTGATATTTCATTCCCACTGCGTCTTAAACGCAGCTTTGAGTAAACATATGAAAGAGAACGTCTCTGTAACCCATGTTCTCTGAATAGGGAACGAAACGCTGCGTTCGCTGCCAAATATCTTGCGCTGCTGACAAGCTTCCTTTTTCGACAGAGAACTCTGAGGAGCAGATGATGCGCGCGCCAATATAATATGACGTGAGCGTCAAGGTGGCGCGAATGGTGATTTTATATCCATAGACAATCGTTATTCTGACACGCAATTTTACATGTGCAGCCAAACATTTCACGTGTACATTTCACGTGTGTTTAATCTCCTCGCTATCAGCAGACGTTCCGGGAGTCTCCCGCATATTGATAACGGCTCCCGGATGATCGCAAATTAGTTCAAATCTCCCAGAATCTAGAGCGAGCAAGCAAGAGCACGCGTGCAAGACAGATCAGACAGTGCTTCAATAAACCGTATAGTGCGTAGACTCAGGAATCGAAATCAGGCACCGAAGTTTTCATTCTTATTCGGTCTGGTTACTACCATTTACGTTAGAACCGGTTCCCTATTGGAACCGAGTTTCGGTACCCAACCCTAATGGTCACACACATAAATGGTGTCTTCCTACCTGCTTTTGCATTAGGGACTTATCTAATCTGTCATGCATCATCGACTACGGCAAAATGGCTATTCTCCAGTAGTAGACGGTTACAGTAGAACGTCAAAAATCGTTCAACTCCCAAAAAGGGAGCCACAGATTCTAGCACAATAGCCAGATCCCAATCTGTAACTCTGGTGCGAATTGCAGGCCTAAGCCTTAAAGTGTAAAGATGGAAACATGTTATTGATGGGCCCGTCCCAACAGATACACCACCCAAAGGGACGTGGTAAGCAGATATGGCTGCCACATACACCCTTAGTATGGAAGGGGATAGCCCTCTAGTACTGAACCAACCAGGCAGTTAACTACTGTAGATCCAACTGTCACATACTGGACCAAGAAGTGAAAACTCTCCATTTCAAGGCATAAAGCTTCCTTGTGGAGGGATCTCTAGAGTGAAGTATGGTCTCAACAGTTGATAGACCTGAGTCTATGAGTTGGGCCCCCTTCAGAGGCCAAACCAACAGATTCCATATCTCAAGGCAGGGGTGAAGGATCAAACCTTCCACCAGAGACAGAAGATCCCCCCTGACTGGTATCTCTATGGGAGAACCATTGAGGGGGGGGCACTAGGGGCTGGGTGTGTTAGGGAAAACCAAAGTGGAAAGTGCGTCATATCCTGAGACGCAAACAGATCCTTTAAATCTATATTAAAAATAATTCATAATTAAAATCAGAATCAATCTGTATATAATTAACAATGTTTTGAAATAAGATTTTTCAAGTCTAATAGAGACAGTTGGTTGAAGAGCAAGCTTGTGTGATGTTTGGGAGTTTCAAAAGGTTTATCTTTGTTTCAGGTGCATCCTGTTGCTATTTGTTCTGTTCTTCATTCCTGGAGTGGTGATGATCATCGCTTATGGGCTCATATCTCGTGAGCTCTTCCGTGGAATACAGTTTGAACTGGAACAGAAGAAGGGACAGTGCGGTGAGACCTATGAAGGCGATAACACAATACAATCTGATTTAGTGTCATTTTTTTAGTAAGCGCCATGCAGGCCATCCTTAAGGGTTTTTAACCGTGCTAGTCGCTGTGAACATATTGCATGACCTGCCTTGAGGATTTAATTGTCTATAAAGTCGAGGCCATCTGTTTGTGAATGACTCAATTTCCTAAGTAATGAAATGTTACCTATAGGACTTTCAAAAAGATAATTGCAGCTGTGCAAAATTTCTGTAACTACCTTTAAAAAAAAGCAAGGAAAAAAGAGGCAATATACACTTGAATATTTTCTTGAAATTGCTCATTAATGGAGCCCTTAGAAGTTAATGTCTGCTGGATTGCTTTGATTATGTCCCATCCTGAACTCCGCTGTTCTGACTTAATCACATTCTATTGTTATAAATATGCCCCATTTCCCCTGGGCTGCAGTAATCTAGCATTCAAACTCTCCAGTGCTGAGTCACAACTCTACCCCTTAAGATGTTTTCAGTTGAATTAGAAAAATGTAATTTCCTTTCCCATTTTTATTGGTAATTATTGGTGCAAAAGACGGAAACTCAAGAATGTCAAAATACAACCTGCTCCTACTCCTAAAGTAGGGGTTCTCGACTCTGGCACTTGAGGTTCACTTTCCTTCAGAGTTTTGCTCCAGTCTTTTTAAAACACCTCAACAAGCTAATCAAGGTCATCAGGATCAATAGAAAGTTACAGGCAGATGAGTTCGATCAACGTTGGAGCAAAACTTTGCAGGAACGTCTGTAGAGCAATTCAGACTAAAATTATGAGTTTGAGACTGATTAGTAAGTCGTTTTGTCTAAAAAAAAATAACAGTTCATAAGAGTAATTTGATCACGAGTAAATCATTATTACAGGTTTTGAAAGTGTATTTGTATTCATTTATCTCTGCAAAAAATATCCAATTAATTTACCCACACTGCTTCCTACAGTATATTGACTAAATTTAAATGACATTTTATCAATAACGTTAAAAATACACTGTAAAAAATATTTTCAAGATTTGTTATCACAACATATTTTCTTTTGTCAAATCAACTTTATAATAATTTATTTAGTTGAGATAACGTATTATTTTGAGTTTCTGATGGTTAAATTAATCTACTTCATTGTATTAACTCACTTTTTCCAGTTCAATCAACTTAAAATTTTAAGGCAACCCAGGTTACTTACTTTAAGTTAAACCAACAATATTGTTTTACAGTATAGTAATCACAACATTTTTTCTTTTGTCAAATCAACTTAAATATTTTTTTTAGTTCAGATAACATATAATTTTGAGTTTCTGGTGATTAAATTAATCTCCTTCATTGTATTAACTCACTTTTTCCAATTCAATGAACTTCAAATTTTAAGGCAACCAGGTTACTTACTTTTTTAAGTTAAACCATCAATATTTTTTTACAGTGCACGATACCTCCATAATCTGAAATGAAGGAGGTTTTATACACGTTTATGACTGTTAGTGTCATTCGCTCAATTATTACATTTTTAATGCAAATATAACATTGTTTGAGATGTCTTTGTTACGAAACCTTGACATAAATCAATGCATCATAACCTGTCAGTGTCTATTTCATGACAACTTGACATTACTAAGACAACACAACCTGTCATAAATATGTCATAAACATATTTGGGTTAACATTACATTAAACTGTCAGGTGGTTGGACATTGGCTGTCATTGGCTAAGTGGTTTCGTTAGTTTGATAATGAATCTGCTATGTCATGTTTATGACCCATTTATGGCAATTTAGGTTGTCTTGGTAATGTAGCATTTGCATTTTGATGCAGCATTTCATTTACAAAAAAAAAATATATAAAGCCTAAAACCTGAGCTTACCTAAACCTTTTTTTTTTCTGCCAGCCTCAGAACTACAGTACATTCAGGAAATGCAAATCTGCTTCAAAATGTAAATGTCCTTTGGATGTGTGTTTGATGTGTGAGTACTATGCAATGCAATGAAAATGCAATGTTTCCTCTACAGGAATGAAAAATGGCATCAGCACCACTGTCTTAAGTACCAGCGATGATGGAGACGGCTGCTACATCCAGGTGTCCAAGAGGCCCAACTCCTTGGAGATGTCAGCCCTCACCCCAACGGGCTCCGCAAAGGTGGACCGACCCCGCAGCAATACCTCCGAAGCTAAACTGATGGCGAAGAAGCGAGTGATCCGTATGCTTATCGTCATTGTGGCCATGTTCTTCATCTGCTGGATGCCCCTGTACTCCGTTAACACCTGGAAAGCGTTTGACCTTCCCTCTGCCCACAGGGCTCTCTCTGGAGCCCCCATCTCGTTCATCCACCTCCTGTCCTACACATCTGCCTGCGTCAACCCCATCATCTACTGCTTTATGAACAAGCGTTTTCGAAAGGCACTTTTCACCACTTTCTCTTGCTGCTGCTGGCCCTGCCGTAGAAGAGGCTTCAGGGAAGGTGACGATGAGGTCACTGCCACCGGAGCATCCATGTCTAAGTTCAACTACACCACTGTCAGTACAATGGGACCGTGCTGATTCTCAGAGGACCAAGGCTGGGAAAGATGTAGGAGAACTTGGGTTGATGTTAAAATAGTGTCAGGGTTTACATTTTGGTAGAAGGGAGTAGCTGTATTCAAATGGACAGACTTAGATTGTTTATCGCCTACTTGCAACCAAGCATACCACATGCTACGTCATCATCGGTCGTTGTTTTATGATCCATGACAAACTCATTAGAGACTTGTATTATAAATGTATATACTTAAGGTGGCGTCCCACAGGTCGACCTAAAGCAACTCGGTAGGAGCGGTTACACCAACCTCATCTTCTTCTGTTGAAGGTATGTTACTTGTTACTCTCACTCATTAAGAATGCAAAAGAAAGACTAAATGACTAAAAATTTATTTCTGACTGAATTAGGAGTCATTTTGGTGTAGCAGAACCCCAGAACAACACTCATTTATGCAACCACAATGAATAACAATCAGCGTTTGATGTATGTGGCTTAGAGTTTGCTGAGAGGAAGTTTAGATCAGATTCAAACCTGACAACTGTTCCACAGGATGAGAAGAAGCTCATTGGTCGGCCTTATCAGAATAATGATAATGTCAATTATGCGATTGTCAGAGTCAGCTAGACCATCAACTCAGCAGGAAGCAGAGTTTCTGGAGCTGTTAGCAATCACAGAGGGATGGTTACATGCACTGACATCCTATGATTCTCATACAACTATGTAAAGGACTGACAATAGCTTTTGGAATGCACGCCTTTTCATTCAAGACATTTCATGTGAAATTATTCTTTTGTTGTAGATTTAAGTGCCTGCGTAATTCTTTAGAATCTGTTCTGAGGTCAAGGCTTTCTTCAGAGTAGTAGTTGCATAATGTAAATGATTTCACTTATGTGAAATGATCAGAAATCTTGAACACAGACATATAACAGCTCTCCAAAGTCGTAGGTAGCATGCTTGTAGTCACAATTTTCTACAGAATTACAAAAACCTAATATGGTGGTTAATGATGATAGTCTGTTGCTAGACAAGACAAAGATTTTGGCAATTGGTTTCATCCCATTTTTTGGAGCCAAAAAGGTTTTGCTTTGTTTTCATTGATGTCCTGCATGGCCTTCACAATCTGTGACTCATTGTCTTGAGTGGCGGTAAATGCAGGTCACCTCAACTGAACGAGAATCTAAAACACTCAATTAGGATAAACTCATGCTGATCTGTCATAGTCTCACAGACTGATTTATTACTGCTTTTACATGCTCTCACAATTTTGATAGATATAAGCTTATTAAGGTCCTCATATATGGTCATCAAATAAGATCATTCAAACCTGATTTGCGATTGTTTCATTTATCATTCTTTTAGAAGGTAATAAAAAAAAAATGAGGCAGGTAAGAGAAAGAGAGCGGGACTTGAATTAATGTCAGATATTTTTGATGCCCATTGGATGTGAGACTTGGGTCAGTAAAAATGGTCAAATCACTAAAATTGAGGACATTAAATTGATTACTGCCTTTAAGTAAAAGTAAACTGCTGCCAAAGTGAGAACCTGCAGTGATATGTACAAAGTATGTTGCACTTTCTCAGCCACTTTGATTTTTATCACTTATGAAGAAAATTAAGCTGAAATTAAGTAGGAAGTTATGAGATACTTGTTATGGTATCTTGTTATGTATATAATTATTAATTAATTTGTCTGTACACCATCTGCAATTCACATCCAAACATAATTACTAACATTATTACTTACTTATTAGTAAGTGGTCACCTTGACTATAAGTCAATCCCAGCGGTATTATTATTATTTTTTTTACATGTAAAACAGTAATTAGTTAGAATAACTAATTATGATTCATGTCATGATGTTTTTCAGTTCCTTTATAATGAAAGAAAACCAAATGCTAGGCACCATTAATGAAACAATTAGGTAAATTGGTCATAAAACAGTTCTCGCACGACTGATTTGAACTGCATACATTTCAGCAATAAGACTTGTTTTACAACTTCGATTACTATGGATGTTTTCATAGACTTTTTTTTTTTTTTTTTTTTTCACCAAAATTCCCATTTCTGGTTTGGTGTTGATGAAGCTCAAGATGAAGACAAAAATGCTTGGGAAACACTGGTTTTAAAAGATGGTATTGACTTCTGTCATCACTTCAAACATCATTATGTGCAAAAGGTTTCTTTACATCGTAGGTACAGTTGAGCATAATCATAACCGAGCAGGAACCGGCATACATTCTCCCTGGAATATTCCTATTACTCCCCTTTCTGTTTATTTTGCCACCTATCTTCTCTGTTCCAAATGTCTGTCCCTTTCTTCCCTGCTTTCTATATTTCTATTTTTTTCCCGTGGCTTTCTAATCAATGTGCATCTGCTCCCTGAATCTATATACTTTGCAGCGAACAATGTTGTTATCCACACTTCTCCCCATGCAGCCCATCACACAACAACCCTTTTAAACCTGCCAAATCCCCCATTAAATTTATGCTGCTTGGCCATCCCAACTTTCCCTGATGCACCAGCCAGGGTTTTAATAGCATCCTTCCCCTGCGTTGCTCATGCCTTGGGTAATGGGTCGGTATTCAGGGTCACACACACAAAGATTAGATTTATTAGATCTCCCAGACAATGTTGTCAGATTTGTTTGTTTCTGACATTTTAGAACAGCATCCCATTAGTATTTTGAGATTGGAAAAGGTGATGGCATTTGTGGTTGAAACGGACTATTTAAACTCTTCCTGATTGCAATCTTTGAAAAAGAATTTAAGCATTTTTATATGACCCAGTCTTTAAATTGCATTGCATCACTCTGTCTTCAAGGGGTTTTGGATGGATGTCTGTTCGGCAGATGTTTCAGTTTTATTCTAATTAGAAGAGAAATGAGGTCAGCAGATGCATTGAGTTCTGACCTTTCCAAGCCAATCATGACTCCTTTTTTATGAGACCAATAAAACCAATGTACAGCCAGTGTTACAGATCCTCCTGTGAATGACGTTTTGAAGCAAACGTCAGGTTTGGATCCAGACTAAAACCATGTGTTCCCTATGAAAAACAACTGGCATGCTACAACATGTTTTCCAATAAATAGTCCCCAAAGCAAGAGAAAAAAAAAACATATCTTGGTAAGTTTTAATACTTTTTGAACTGTGAATGCAATAGTAAAATGTAGCATAGCCTGCTGTTGGTGGCATATGTACAATTTTTTTGTTGTTGCAAAAAACAGGCTAGTTTCATTCAGGAAATGCTCTCATGAAGGAAACATTTGACATAATGTTTTTGGATTAGCGGAACGTGGAATCAATTAAACTCTAAACACTTAAATGAATACGTACGAACAGACAGCAACAACATCTGGCATGTTAATCCAGTAAAACAATAAGCATTTAGAGATGGCTGTAGAAAATGCATTTCATAAATGAACTGTGGGACACTCTAATTAGCCGGACATCATAACGCCTGCCTCAGCCTGGAGGCGGTTCCCTGTGGTTAATTGCTCTCAGACTTTGGTGCTAGGGCTGAAAACGTAAAGGCTGTAAAACATTGATTTCCCCGAGGTGTGTTTGAGAAGTCTATGGCGAGACCTCCGGACACATTGTGCTGTTGTGGCCCACAGCTCTCTTCTGATTAATAGGATATAATCTAAAGCCTAAACTAACCACATTATTCATGATGTTAAACAAACAGACAACTCAAGTGTTCCCATTAGATTACGTACACAACCTCTCAACTCTTCTCGGCTATGCTGCGTGTTCTTTCCTCGAAATGCTTCACCTTGCCACCTCTGTACGGACAAAGTTAGCATGATGAAAATATAAGTTAACAGCTTCATCAGTCAAGATGACAAGGAACACTGAGGCAGCCAACTTTACAAAGACAGAAAACAGATATTTGGCGAATTTGTCAGAAAAAAATACAATTTTGTGCGCATAGACTTTTATATCATTTTTTTCTCGCTTAGTCAGTGGTTTTGGATATATGCATGAATGTATAAAATGTCACTCAAAATGTTGCTTTCATGTGCCTCGGGATTTCGAAATAACAGCACGATGTCATGATGGACATGATTGGATAGACATTTTAGGTTTTCTTGACACTTACAGCAACTGATCACTCAGACACACCCGATATAAACTAAAGTGTCTGCACGAACAAATCAAATTACATTACCTACACAGTGACGGTCAGTCTGAAAGATTTGATTTATGTGCAGTGTGCACAGGTTTTTTTTTAGATGATATATTAAAACGTTGATCTATTTTGCAGGCAGCTTAGCCTTATAACTAGGATTAAGCAGCATCTGTTACTAAGGCAGTGGACAGATTTCACTCAGAAGGCATCATTTATTACTGGCTCATGCAAACTGATGACAGATTGTGCTTTCTAAAACAAATAGCAAACCTATGCTCATCTCGTCAATATTTTATAGATTTAATTAAAGTGACATTATCCAAAATTTGCCCTCAGTCACCAAAAAAGTTTAAAATAAAAACAAATGAAGAGCATATTTTAATTTAATCTTTCACAATCTTAGATTTTTTTAGTTTCTATATTTAGTGGACTTGTAATGTCCTTGTGAATGAATGTTAAATAATTTGTACAGATCCATCATAAAAAAATAAATAAAAAATAAAAATCTATATATGTACAGGTGCATTACTATTATAACACAAGGACATTTTAACAACTTGAACAATGCTACTTACAGTATATGAAATAAATCAAATTACAAACAGTATCATATTTAAACTGCATACACATTATTAAATCCATTCAAAATCTCAACAGAACATAAATGTTAGTCTTGCATAAATACATATGCTAAATATTTATTCTAAATAGAATAACCGACAATGAATGTATCAAAGAAGTGATAGTAAAACAAATGTAGTCCTTTATATTGTTTTTACTATGTACTAACATTTAAATTATTTGATAAAATGCACTTATTGTGTACTTGTGTGTAAAAACTACCTGCATGTAATTACAGCTGTTATCAATTTCTGTATCATTATACAGTTGACTCTTCCCCTAATCCTTAAACCTACCCATACCACCAAACCCATCCCTAAAATTACATGTATCCAACCTCAATAACAGCAAAGTGTTTTGCAACACAATTAGTGCATTGTAGCCTAATATATTTATATGTAAGTACATTGTTAAAGATGCCTAATATATAGTGTCTCTAACCCAGAAATGTAAAGGTGTAACCACCTCCAGAGGCTTCAAGCTGAAGCGAGACATCTAAAATAAGTTATTACTGTACATCTACTGACATCCATGCACTGACATCTCCACCCCAACAACTGTGGTAACATGTTCCATAAAGCCTGAATTAAAAGGTGGATGCTGCCACTAAAGCATGGGACCATATAGCTGTATGCCCACTGGAAGTGGGTCTCTGTTGTGTGTAATGTATAGAGTCCTAGGAGAAAACTCACAACCTCCACTAGAGTTGGAGTGTGTATAATACTATAATAGGATTTAATGATACTATAAAAGGAATTCAAATTTAATCTGTGTGTTGTGTAAACAAGTCTGTAAAAAAGGGAGAAAAAAAAAACAAGACTACATGAAAAGTCAAACATTATAAACTTTAGGCCACCAGTGCCTTAAACGTATATCATATTTTTTGGTGAGTTTTTCGTGAGCTTGTGATCTCCTTTATTTTCTTTGAAGATTGAACATTATTGAATGCTATTGTGAATTTGCTTTGTTGGTTTTTAAAGGATGTGATATACAGGCTTGTGTTCATTGTATTGATATTACTTATAATCTATAATAATCTGTACTATGATTGTTTGTGTTATTGCCTTGGTTGTTGAAAGATGGTTTATCTCAATACACCTTCAACACAGTGAAACAAAGCTAATTCAGAAGTAATGAATTAAATATACTGTGCTGGTGAATAGTTAGTTCTACAGAATTGTATAAATTGTATAAAAGTTTGAGAGAGTATATGTGATATATTTGACACATTTGTATATTTGACACCATATGAAGGAGTATAAACAATGTAATGACACAAGTATATGAGGACTCAATTTAATAACTATAACTGCAGTATATGGCATATTTAGCAGCAGAATCTTGTCTTTTCTGTATTTCCACTGCGATTATAAATTGTGCTTGTAAACCCAAGAGACTGACGCTTGTTGCTTTCACATTGTGTAAATGTATATGTGAACCAGTGAGTCTGTCTGGGGCCACTGATGCTGTGTAATTTGTTGTTGTAATCAAATAATAAAGCTCATCATCTCTGTAGTGTCTGCTGTGAAGATTACCATAATCCAAAAAAAAATGTTGGCTCTGTTCAAAACACTTTCAAAGTTCTCTAAGATTGCGAAACAATTTTTTGGAGCTTATCAGAGATGTACCTTTGCCAAAATCGAAGATATGAATCAGAGATAAATTCCATAGTGGTATATGTTTACAAGCTTAATGGACAGAGGAATGGGTATGTGATATTGAAGAGTAATTTCCATTGTGTCATATCGGGAAGTTGTTTATTATGTTCTTCACTTTGAGCATCAAAACCTTTCAGAGAGGAAGAGATGCAGAAGGATATTGATTAATATTTCAAACTAACAGCATTGCTGTATATGTATAGCTGATTACTGCACTCCCTCTCACAGCAAATATGAGCCATATGACCCTAAAGTACTTCAAGGTTTTGATCTTTGAATCCCCAAAGGATTATAGAGGAACATGCACACTCAGAACAATGTTATGCCATCTAAACAGTTTTGCTTCACTAAATGTTCTGGATCAAACTTTTGATTGATGCCACTAAAGAACAAGCGTGGACAGAGTGTAATGCATTTGAGCACAAAGAAAACATATTTTAAGGTCACACTCTATTTTGACGGTTCACTTTAGACACTTTGCAAGCAACCAACTCTCATTAGAGGTTAGTATAATAAGATGACATACAGTTACTTATATTCAGTTGCTATGTAGTTGCAAACTTACTTATCGTCAGTAGAATGCATTTTTGGGGTAGCATCAAAATAAAGTGCTATCATACAGTATATTACGCAGACAGTCTCCTTGGTACTAAGTAGATGCTTCTATTCAGTGGAGAATAATTGTCATATTCGAAAAAATGACTTTTATTGCTAATAAAATATCACAAATAGATCAAATATAATAAACAGTTTTAGGCCTGGCCTGCCTTTCATGTAAAATTAGATCAGAGTCGGGTTCAAGGCCATGAAAATGAAATCTGCTTTACAACTTGTAACTGTTATTTTGTACCTGTACTAACACACATGCAAGCAAGCACACACACGCAAACACACACACAAACTCCTCAAGGGAGCTTGGAGACTTAATGACACCGAAGAAGATCAGATATTGTGAGTTCAAGAGAAGAAAACACATCAAACACTTGTCTTTATCAAGCTTTTCGGAGATCAGACGCAGTGATGAAAACATCACCAAAAGTAAAAATGAGAATGCGTCCTTTCCATTTACCTCTGAACTTTCCTGGCTTAGAACACTTACACATCAAATGAGCAGTCCTGAGCCAAAACATCACAAACATCAAAGTTTTGGAGGATGTCATCAAACTACCTTGTTAGTGACCTGAAAAGATGAAGACTGATGTGAAACACTGGATGATAGTGCACTGCGGCCTGATATTTACGCTCCCACTCCCAAAGCATCTGGACAGCAGAAGATAAAAGACAGCGGAGGAGGAAATTGTAAGGCGGATTACTCTACAGATCTGACCGGAGGCCATACATTTTAAGGAGGCCATCTGCATTCACATAGGCTGTCTCTAAGTCATATCGTAAAAAAAAAAAAAAAAAAAAAAAGGTATCTGGAAGAAAAGGAGCCAGTCATCCGAGAGATTTTACCCTGGTCATCCATTGTTATGAGACATGAATGACCTAATTTTAACTAATGGATTGCCTGTACAAGCCATGACTCAAACATAAATTGCAACAGTTTAGAATTAAAACACAAGGATGATCATCATAACAGGGACTTAAATCAAGACACCATCTACACATTTGTGTGTGTTCAGTTTTTCAGCCAAGTTGTTTTGAGCCAATCACCGACGCTGTAAGCCTTGTAAAAAAGAAGAGTGATGTCATATTTTCAAAGAGATTTTCAGATGTCCACTTGAGTGGACACAACTGAATGCTTTTCAAGCACCTCCATCCTTGAAAAAACACGAAATAATGGGATATTTATGTATTTACAGTGGGTCACGTGATTAGTACTACCTAAGGTAATTTTCCTGGACCTTTTTTACAGAAGGCAAAAGTCGCCGTAATCTTTTCTGACATTGTCTGTGATGATTACTGGCACATGCGAACAGAACTAAAATCACAGAGAAGCTCTGGTACCTCTCCATGTTAAGCTAATCCCATCCGAATAGGGTTGTAGGTGTTACTTTGGTAACACTTTATTTTGAAGGTCCCTTTTGAACATCCTGTTGACTATTATGTCAACTAACTCTTTTTTGAGTAATACGACTGTCTGCTCAATATCTGCTAACTCTTTATTGTGATGCTCCTTCAACAGACATTATACTGACTTTAAGTAACTTTGCAACTACATGTCAACTTAATCCATCTCTAATCCTACCAGTCCACTAATACTATACTAACACTCTAGTGAGAGTTATTAGTAGAGATGTTGGTGCAACGTTACTTATAGTAACTATATTAAGTGAAACCTATTTGATACTACAGCAATTTATTTATTTACCTGCAAGACTCCCCTAGGATTAAAATTGATATTCTGGAGCAAATTGGCATTTCTGACTGGCTATCGGCCATCTTGGTTCGGAGAAAAATATTCAACATGCAGTACAATGGCTTGATGCATAGGTCCCCATAGGTTGCCATACATATGGTAAAAACAACAACTTTTTGAATATTTTTTTTTTCCAACTTTTAAATAGAATTTAAATATATATTCTTTGTTCATTCTGAATCACTCATCATCTGTGGATTAAGCTGCAGACAACCGGTGACACCCGGACATGCAACAGGTGTATACTTTTTTAATGTATTACAAGAGTTTAGTATATTCTTTTTTAACTTTTTTTTTTCAATATAAAGTACACTTTTTTGTACTTCTTTTTCACAAGTGTAATCACTCTGAAGCCACAAGAAAACATACATTTCTGATGATATCACAAAAACACAGTCTAAAACCCTTCAATGGCATCAATCCTGAGCTCTGACATCAAAGACAGTGATACATTTCCAAAAAGTCCTGTTTTCAAGAGCCCACAAAACGTCTACCACAGTTACAACATGTGCTATAACAAAGAAACGTTTTTGATTTAAATGTTGCCTGCAAAACTATGGTTTCATCAGAATTATATGTTCTAGCATCTATCAGCAGGAGCTAACAAGGCCACGCTAAACATGAGACACTTCAAAATAAAAGTTTTCAAGAAAAAAAAAAAAAAACTAGGACAGAGGCACAGAGTAAAATAAAAACTCCCAGCATTCCCCCATGGTTGCAGTGAAAGCCCCAGACAACACGACACTGCCAACGTGGCACTGCCATCTGGCTTCATGGTGCCTTGACAGCATTTGACTAATGTAGGCTACTAATGAAAATAAGGCACTTGAATTCTAAGAAATAAATGAGTGCAGGATACTTTACTGCTTTTTGTGGTTATCTCAGATCAGAGCTAAAATATGATGCAATAATCATAATCCACCAAGAACATTCTTGGCTTTTGTTGCTCATATAAAACTCAGTCCTAGTATTCCATCAAGAACAGATGTTCTTCAGCAACTGCCTCGGGCCGATTACCACACCTGATCCAATCATACAAGACTAAAATAAGGGTAAATAACGAATTTTGCTCTTTAATTCAACAGCGGCTGATAGCACCATGATGTTAAATAATATATATTTAATTAAAAAAAGGCTATTAGGCTAGGTTATTTTTTAGTAAGTTGTTGCCAAGGCTACAATTAGGAGCAATTACATTGTTCCATGTAATATCTATTATTTTGTTTTATTTAACCTTTATTTAAATTACTAAATGTTCTGAAGAGTTTTAGTTTTAGTTAATGAAACCCTGAGATGGATTGAGATGCAATAACTTACCCTACATGACCAGCATAATAACTGTTGTCTACACATATATGTAATGGTTTTACGCTAAAAAGATGTAGAACATTTAAATAAACTTGGAAGTTAAAATAATATTTAGATGTAGATTTGTATTATATAAAGTTTTTTTGTATTTCAGTTTCTATCTAGGAAACACAATGAACACCTGGCCTGCTATGGCTGGAACACCAAAGTTTAAGATCAGCCATCAAAGATAAAATCTCAGATATATCTCCAGGATGGCAACATGGCTGGGTAATATCCCACACCACCGCAAGACAATATCCTGAGGCCTCTGTTTAGACCAAGCTGCTGTCTACACTAAACAATGAGATCAAGTTTGAAATGGAAAAAAAAAAAAATATGATGAACTCTTGCAACACTCTGGGCATACGTGACTGGACGTACAGCATGTCCCACTCAATAATAACATGAACAAATGACATTATGAAAGAAAAATGGCACAGAGACATTTTGTTTCTTCGTATTATTATATTTGATATTTCTATGTTTACAGTGAGTTTGATATTTGTTTAGAATTGTTATCTTTTGACAGGTTTGAAACAAGTGCAATGAAGTGTTTATAAATGCAATGTATGTAAAAGCCGCCCATGCATGTAATTTATTACAAAGTGCAACTCCTAAAATAAAGTAATTGTCTTTCACTGGATTGAAGTAGGCTACATTTGGTTAATAATTGTGACAAATATATGTTATCTTTATTGTTCAATATTTTAACATTTAAGCATTTTATTTTTTGTAATCAGTATAACAAAATGTATCTGAATTTAGATTTATATATCCAATTATATAAGATAAATGATACTGATACTGGGTGAATATAGTTGAAAAAGTGCCAAAATCAAAGAAACAATCCAGTTTACTACTTGGCACATCTCTACTTGCCAAGCTGACAGATTGTTTTTATTCAAAGCCATTTGTAACATCCAATGCAGCAGCTATAAAGATTAGCAAATGTTCAACACAAACTAAAAAAAAAAGCACATGTGACAGAACAAACAATTCTTTAAATGGGCTTCTAAACAATGTATGTTTAATCATTACTGTCAATTATCATCCAGGGGTGTAAACCAACATTTTTTTTTTTTATGTTTTACTTCATCAGAATGGTACAAAAATGGTACAAACGTGAATAAAAACAAAAATAAATG